TAAGATGGTGGCAGGAGGGGGGAAGGACGTGTTTCTCTCATCCCCTGCAATGTTAGTGTGTGGGCTCACACGGCCCGGAAATCCCCGAGCGAGGAGGGCGGGCTGGCTGGGGAATTCTGGGAGTTGAAGTCCACACAGCTTAAAGTTGCTGAGATTGAGAAACACTGGGTTAGACTGGTGAAATAAACCAAGGCACATGTTGTAAATAACAGGCTATTTACAACATATTTATCTAGTCATAATGTCAGGGAACAGCATGGTTCTTTTGATCACGGTACAGTAGCCTAAAAGGAGCGTTTGCATTCTCTTGGCGTTCTCCAAGGCTTGTCTGTTTTTGCTCCCTCGCAGTTTTTGGAAGGGGCAACCATCGAAGTGGACCAGATCCACACACACATGAGACCGTTGCTAATGATGCTGGGCGACTATCGAAGTTTGACCCTCAATGTGGTGAACAGGCTGACCTCGGTGACGAGGCTCTTCCCCAACTCTTTTAACGATAAATTCTGCGATCAGATGATGGTGAGGACATGGAACAAAGGCAAAGGTTGCTGGCTGGAAACTGGCCGTTTTCTTGAAGATTATAGTTGGGCTGCCACTAAGGGGAGTGGGGAAATTCCTAGGAACTCCTTGACTTGAAATGTTCACAATCTTCACATCCTGCCCTTAGTTTCCTCAGTTAAAAAAAAAGCAGAGCTAAAATAGGTGTTCTTAAATATATTGGCTTGATTCTTTCTTGCCAATAATCCCTGAGGCTCTGTTCTGACCTCCTGCTTATGGCAGTGTTTCTCAAAATATGGTCCAAGGACCCCTGGGGGGTCTCCCAAGACCTTGTCAGGGGTCCGCAGAATCAAAATTATTTGCCATCCTCTGTTGAAAAATCACACAGTATTAAAATTCCATCCATTGTGAGAAGCAGCAGTGTCAATGCATCCATTTTAATTTTGAATATGTCAATTTCGATCCATATAACCCATACCAACGAAAGCTCTTTTGGAGTCCTCTATTATTTTGAAAAGTGGGAAAGGGTCCTGAGAGAAAAAAAGTTTAAGAAACACTAGGGTATAGTCATAAGCACCGGGTGCAGTGACATCATGGGTGTGTGTTATGATGTCACCATGCAAAGGATACAAACTCTCATTTGCGTTGGACTCATCATGACGCAAATAACTCGCCATATATACATTGTGTCATTTGCGGCATGTCATGATCCATGCAGAGTGACTCTTCTCGTTGGGAGACACCCCTGCTAATCAGGAACGTAAGGGTGCAGGACATGACTGTGTCTTTAATCCTTTTGCAGCAACACTTGCGTAAATGGATGGAAGTGGTGGTCCTTACCCATAAAGGAGGTCAGAGGAGCGATGGCAATGTAAGTAGGAGATTCTTTCTCAGGAGCATTGAACTCCAAAACAGAGATGCTTAACAGTATAAGGGGGAACATCATGTTAACTGCCAAGTTTTGACTCCAAATAATTTACCTTGCTTAATAACTGTTTTTCATACGATTTAAACATTTGCATTTTTCATAATCAGCATACAGCCCCTCCATGGCATGGAGATGCAGCTGGTGGGACATTTGCTGCTGGAGCTTACGTGCAAGACATGCCCCCTTTTTGCTGAGTGAAAGGTGTGCAAGATCCCTGTGCTGTGAAAAGTGTGGCTGGACGGAAGTTGGTTTCCATTGGCAGTTCCATCCCAGTCTGTTGCTTGATCATCTTTTCCCAACCTGGCCCTTGGTGGTGGTCTGGGTTACCACCGCTGGGACATTGGAGATAATTAGGCCAATTCACCCCACTCAATCTGGTACCCTCCGGAGGCATTCGGATTTGTAATTCCCTGATTTCCAGCCAGAATGGTCTCTAGCCTCTGGATTGGGGGAAATCTGCCCCCAACAGATGTGGGGAACCTGGTTGGGGTGGACTGATTCAGAAGAACTGGTTCTGTCGTTAAGAGTAATCCATCCTTAGAAAAAATACATGTTGACCTGGAAGTGAGTCTGTCTCTTTCTTCTCCTCCCCTCCATCTCTCCAGTTAATGTACTGGACGCGCCAAGCTTCTTGCATATCACATTCCCCAGCTTTTTTTTTCCCCTGAAGGCTATGTTGAGTTGGTGTCCATGTTTAGGGGAAAAGAAAGCAGAGTCTTCTATGAGACTTACAGTAAAGGAAACTAGTGAAAGCTAGTAAAAGGCTGACAGATGTTCCATGCTGTGCCTTCTGAATTTTTTTTTTTTTAAAGAAATGATGGGCTGATCTGTGTTGGCTACAGCTCTATCAGATTGAATCCCCAAGGAAAAATCTGCATCTCTATAGTTTTGGCGTATCATTAACATTTAGTAATTTTTTCCTGTTTCATTTTTAGTCTCCTGGTACCTAAAATCTACAGACATCGTTTGTTTTTCTGGACTTTTGGAAAGATTCATTAGTAGGGCAAAACTACTGATTGGATAGATTTTTCTATCCAGCAGTTGTGTTACAGCACAGCAGCTTGCTTTTAATGGTGTGCCTTCTTCTGATATTTTCTGTCACAACTGTCAGTGTTTCAGAGTGTGTGTGTGTGTGTGTGTAAAATCCATTCTTTAAACAGCCGTGGAAGTCTGTCAGGGGAGTATAAAAAATGTGGTTTCAATCTTGAGTGGCAAGCCCTCGATATTAAAAGCTTTTTGCAAAGCGATCAGGGAATACAGACATGATAAATCACTGGTAGTTTAATAAAATTTGAAGTGTGGATGGGACTTGTTTGGAAGCTTTACAGCAGTGTGCATGAAGGTTGGAATTAGCCAAGTCCTTTTGAAGCTTCCATCATTCAGCTTCAGTTTCCACCAAGGATGGTGCAGTCCGGTTCAGTCACTGTCTTGGCACCTCCTCCAACCTCCTGGAATTTCAACAGAGCTTTTGGTCCTTTCTGGTTTTCCAGATGGGCTAGCAAAATGCTTCTAAGGGACTCTCAAACCAAAACCTCCCCCCTTAGAACTTATTTTCTTCATAATTGTAATCCTATTTAGGATGACTAAGTATGTAATCCTTTGACTCATCATCTTTCATGACTCATCTTCTCTCCTGGGTGGTAGAGAGGAGTAGTCCTCTGCAAAGTTAGCTTATGATGATATGTTGATTCCTATTCCATAAACTCCCTTTCTTTTAGGTGCTCCCTCCAAGAATATAAAGTCACCCCATTTGAGTTGTGTCACAAAAGAGCCTACTTCTGAGTAGACAGCCCAGATAACCACCAGCAATGAACTGCTGTATCTCTGGATTCAACATCAGCCTTGTTTGGCTTGATGTCCTCCTGAGGTTTTTTATACCACATCTCCCAAACTTCCTAAGGGAACTCTTGCCTGGGAATTCTGGGAGTTGTAGTTATGGATCCTTTGATCACAACAGAAACTGATAGAGTTCTGTTGACCACACACTCATCACATAACCTGTATCCAGATGTTGTCTTTAGCTGCAGGCCTGTGCTTGGGCAGGGGTTGGCAATCTGTGGTACTCCTGATATTACTCCTAACATCCATTTCCAGAACATCCATAAGTTATCTAGCCCTATGTTGGGGTGTGGGTGGGGGGAGTTCCATTAAGCTGATTACGCTTGTGTTCTTAATGCTTCCTCCAGTCTGTCTGTGCCCGAGTAACATTTGTCTGATAATCCTGTGAAGTAGATTAGTCCAGGGATAAGGCTAGAGTAATTAATACTTTGTTTTGACTATGGTTTGTTGAAGAGGCCATACTAGCCTGGTTCACACCCAGTGAAACTAGGGCAGGGTCACCAGCAGCAGAGTGATAGTTCCCAACATTTTGATCTGGGAATTTCAGGGAAATTTGCATTGCATGCTTTTTACCTTGCATTTGGAAATTTTCTGATGCATATTATCTTACTGAAATTCCCCTAATTTGCTTCATCAACAAGATAGGCTGGAATCTCTTTCTTGGGGAAAATAAAGCACTGGGATAAAATGGCACTGGCTTTTCAGTTTTGGCATTCATACAGGTGTCCTCCCCCCGCCTCCCTCAAATATTTTAAGAAAGTCTTTCTACTCACACATCCAACATGCAGTGAACTTTATCTACAAGGTGCCCGTCCTCTCTGCAGAGATCCTGCTCTTCGTATACCTTTTTCCCCACATGCAGACGGTTTTCTTAAAACTTTCTGAAAGGATGCAGCGTGTTTGGGTGTGTGTTCGAGTGAACAGATGGCCTGGTTTATTCGCTCAGGCACCGGAAGGGGACGTTCTAGCGGTGGCCTCCTCACGCCACACCGTCTGTCTCCCCCCTGCGAAAAATCTGAATGCTGCTTTTCACTGTCTCGTCCAGCTCTAATCTCTCTCCCGTCTCACCCCCCGTGTGCAAATTTTCATTTTGGAAATGCGGGGAGTTCTGTGTATTCCGTGTGTGTTCAAAGAGCAAAAAAGAAAAAAAAGTTGCTTTTCCCATCCTTAGGACAGTATTGCGGAGTGCAGGAAATGTTCCTTGTCTCCATTCGGTCAGTTTGAGGTGAGAACATGATCCCTACGTAAAAAATCAGTTTTTGGTTGGTTTGTTTCTCCCCCCCCCCGACTGCAATCCAAAGCACCAGCACATACACGTCGTTTGGTTTTTGTGTTTTTGGCATTTGTGTTCCTTTTTTTGTGGTTGTTCATGCTGTGAATTTTTGTTTTTTCTTTTCTTTTTTTCTTTTGTTGTTTGGTTCAGCCTGCCGTGGAAGGGGTAGAGGTGAGAATTGTTGGTAGAGGCACAAGGAAGTGGTGATTCTCCTTCTCCTTACCTTTCTCCTTCTCCTCATCCTTCTCCTTCTCCTAATCGTCTTCCTTCTCCTTCTGCTTCTCCTCATTGTCCTCCTCCTCCTCCTCCTCCTTCTCTTTCTCATCTTCCTCCTCCTCCTCCTGCTTCTCCTCATCTTCCTCCTTCTCAACTTCCTCCTCCTCCTCCTCCTCATCTTCTCATCTTCCTCCTTCTCATTTATCCTCCTTCTCCTCCTCCTTCTCCTCATTGTCTTCCTCCTCCTTCTCCTCCTCATCTTTCTCCTCCTCCTCCTCCTCTTCCTCCTCTTCCTCCTTCTCATCTTCCTCCTTCTCATCTTTCTCATCTTCCTCCTTCTCAACTTCCTCCTCCTCCTCATCTTCTCATCTTCCTCCTTCTCATCTTCCTCCTCATCTTCCTCCTTCTCCTCATCGTCCTCCTTTTCATCTTTCTCCTCCTCCTCCTCCTCTTTCTCCTTCTCATCTTCCTCCTCCTCATCTTTCTCCTCCTCCTGGTCCTTGTCCTCCTCCGCCTTCCTGTTGTTCTTTTTTCGACTCTTTTGATTTCACTGTTATTTTTGCTGTGGTTTGTAAGTTGTATCTGTTGCACATTGGGGCAGAATGCATTGTGCCTTTGAGTGCAGTGCTGTGATTTGTCCTCTGTTTTCTCGTCTGTGATGGAGTTGTTTGTGTAACACTTGCCGTGTGAAGGAGTTTTAAGCATGTTCTTTATTTTACACTGGGAGATTTGGGGCGTGTGTGTGTGTTTATATATCTCTGAATGTTTTGAGTTGTTAATGTCAAACTGGAACGAAATAATTGAGCTCCCTGTTTTGGAAGCTGTGACGGCTTCTCTGTCCTATATTTGATTTAAGTCCTGGAAATGCAGCCACCTTTCTAGATTTAATGCATTTTTTTTTCCTCCTTCCCCCTCCTCTTTAAGGCATTTACTGCAATTCAGTGTGAAAACAAGTAGCTGGTGGAAAATAGCCATCCTGTGAAAGAGGCACAGCTAGGATGGCACAGTTGGCTTTTAAAGTAGCTAGTCCACATGAACAGCTGAGCTGCAGTATTGGAGAAAGATCTTTTAAAAACTTTTTAAAACGTTTTTAACGATCTAATCTTGTCCAAGTCCATTTTCAGTAGCAGGTTTTGCCTTTGGAAAAGAAAGGGACCACTTCAGAGTTTCACAACTTCCCAAGCCCCTGTTTTTATTTCGTTAAAAGCAAACAAGAAAAGAGTTACAGATCACTACCAAAACATAACCAAATGACCTAGATAAACCCCGGCCCCTCAAACCAAGGCACCTTCTTAAACACCCTGGGGTAAGTAGCCATGGTTTAACTCCTTGCTTTGGTTTGCTAGCTGTATTAACCTGCAGAAACAGGACCATAGCTTCAGTTAGGGCTAGTCGTGGTGTTAAAAAATATATATTTAAGGCCACTGTGTGCGTGCTGATATTTTGCAGGAAATGAAGATTTGCTCAGCGATTATAAACCTGTTTCATCTGATCCCGGCTGCTCCACAGACGCTTGTCAAACCCTTACTGGAAGTGGTGATGAAAACGGAACGGGCCATGTTGATTGAGGTAAAGCCCCCCTGTTTCCTTAACTGTTTCCGATCCGCTGTTTGCAATGCACGCCACAATTGTGTTTTGAATGCCTTCAGCTCTCCAGTGCCATTGGTTTGATTGAGTATTGGCTTATTGGCTCTTGATGGTGGTTTTAGAAGGGCTGGAGATAGATCTTCAAGGCATTTGAGCAATGGAGGGGGTATGTCAGGCCCAGCCCAAGAACAACAGGGAAATAGTCCAACCGAGTTCAGTTCTTTTATTGCATACACCCGATAGACAAAATCTCGCCAGACTATATTTATACTACAGCAACTAGTGGACATACCCTGGGAGATTCCAGGGAGTGGCTGTCCTGAACCTCTTCTGCTTCCCGCGCTCCTGCTCCGGACTGTGTTGTCCCTTGTCTCTCTGCCCTTCCTGGAATGCACCCCCTCCTTCCTGAGGACCTTGCTCTTTCCTGCAACCCACCACATGGTATTGAGATGTAGAGTGAGGCAACACACAGTCCACCCTGATTAACAAGTGCCCTGCCATCTGTGCTTTGAGATCTACCCTCAGTTTGCCTTATGGGAAATAGATTTTTTTTTTTTGGTCATGTGATAGCAGCCATTTGGGGAATGTGCCAGTTTTCTTGGGTAGCCATTTTGTGAGCGTGCATGTCACATGCTCTGGGAATTCCAGATGTGCCCACCTGATCAGAAATGTGGCTTTACTCCTTGTTTATCGTTTACACACAACGTATTTTAGACTTCAGCCTGCACGTCTGTCTCTCCCGGAATGTTTTGCGTTGTAAAGTGTATCGGTATTATACTGTAATCGTAACTGATTTTTTTCCTGTAACGTTGAGCGTTGCCCAAGAACGTGGCCTTGTATCAACATACCCAGTGTGTAAAATATGTTATCACTGTGCTTAGTCTGGATTCAAAAGGAAAAGCCAAAGTCTTGCGTTTTAAAAATGTTTTAAAAACCTGCCATTTTAGGAGAGTTGCTGTCATGTTTTGCAGTCAGTAAGAAAAAGGGCTCGTAGAAAGCAAGCTGGACGTGCTTCGTGCTTGCTCACGTGCTAATGGAGCTTTTCTTTGTAATCCACTTTGCAGGCTGGGAGCCCCTTCCGAGAACCATTAATAAAGTTTCTGACGCGTCACCCATCTCAGACGGTTGAGCTCTTTATGATGGAAGCGACCTTAAACGATCCACAGTGGAGCAGAATGTTCATGGTAATGTGCAGCTGGCTTTTTGTAAACCCACCTTCGCCATCCCAGCCTAGTGCTGGCATTCAGTGTTCCAATCTTGGCTAGTATGAATTAGGTGGCGTGAACTCCAGGGCGTCTGAAATGCACCACCTCGGGAAAGGATGCGGTGTTGAAGACGGGGAGATGTTAAGGATGAGCGAGGAGGTTGGGAAGAACTGGGAGGAGCTCTAGCCTCCAGCCGTCAGCAGATGGCAGAGTTAGTGGGAGTTTATCTCATAAAGATATAAAGTTTATCTCGTGAGTTTATTTCTCATTCCGAGATTCCTTAATTCTTGCATTAAAGCCTGTGTGATCCTTGGTTCCTTTATCATGCCCTGCTGTAAGGACTTTGACAGTAAAGCTGTTGCTGGGTATTGTGTTTACACACACACACACACACACTCTCTCTCTCTCTCTCTCTTAGTTTGTGTCACTCTCATATTTGAGGTAGGCAGGTGAAGCATTAGGGGGTCTTTACCCAAGGACCCTTACTGGTAAGGTAGGTACCAGCTGCGATTTGAACCCCAGCCTCCTGCGACAAAGGCGGTGCTCTAACCACTACGCTGTCCAGCCACTATATATATATTCCAAATATATCAACGCCTATCTCACTGCAGAGCAACTCTGGGCAGTTTAATAAATAAATTTATTATAAATTAATAAATAAATAGTAATGAAAAAGATGTTACAAAAGCTTCTTATATGAATAATAATTTGCATCCAAGAAGCTGATGTTAACTAAGAGTAGACTCAGGGAGCGTCTTCACAGCGCCATCCACCCCCAGGGTTGATTATATCCCCTATCGCCCCACACAGAGAGTTGGCAGAGCCAGGTCTTTCCGGAAGGCTGGGAGAGTGGGGGCCCGCCTCACCTCTGGGGGAAGAGTGTTCCACAGGGTGGGGGCAATGGCAGAGAAGGCGCTCCTCCTGGGCCCCACCAGTTGACATTCCTTCATAGACGGGGTCTGCAACATACCTTCTCTGCCTGACTGGGTGGGACGGGTCGACATAATGGGGATGAGGCGGTCCCTCAGGTAGCCTGGTCCCGTGCCATGTAGGGCTTTAAAGGTAATAACCAACACCGTGAATCAGACCCGGAAGCAAACTGGCACCCAATGCAGCTCCCACAGCAAAGGTGTTACATGTGCCATCCTCGGGGCACCCAAAATTGCTCACGCGGCTGCATTTTGCACCAGCTGTAGCTTCCAGATACTCTTCAAGGGTAGCCCCATGTAGAGCGCATTGCAGTAGTCTATACGGGAGATGACTAGGGCATGAGTGACTGACCAGAATATGATGCCTTACATCCTTCCTCTTTAGAAACAATGAGAAGGAGTTAGGTAGCTTGCTCACGCGGCTGCATTTTGCACCAGCTGTAGCTTCCAGATACTCTTCAAGGGTAGCCCCATGTAGAGCGCATTGCAGTAGTCTATACGGGAGATGACTAGGGCATGAGTGACTGACCAGAATATGATGCCTTACATCCTTCCTCTTTAGAAACAATGAGAAGGAGTTAGGTAGCCCCATTTCCAACTAACAAATACTGTTGCCTTTTGGTAAAAATTGCTAGTCAGAAAAGATGCTACCAAACTCCTCCCGATTTTTTGCCACCACAGACTGACACGGTTCTCCTCCTATGCCTGCTCTACAGAGAGTTTCCAGGACAGCAGCAAAAGTTAACAAAAGCTTTGTAGCACCTTATAATCAGAAAAACATTGATTGCTTCTTGGCCTTTGGAAGATCAGCTGTAGTTGTGTATATACACAAACCCCTTTACATCTTTTTGGCATGGTGGTTCTGCTTTCAGCCACAGGAGGGTGCAATGTCAGTGTATTCTGACACACTGTAGTTTCACACAAACATAGTATTATTTGGCCAGTGCTGGGGTGAGTCTACCTCATGGTTAACTCTGGCAGGGGGAAGGGAGGAGATAAGGAGAAGAAAGTGCCCAGATCTTAGTAAAGAAATAAACCTATTTGGCCAGGATTTGTGGTTTGATTTGTATGTTATATTCCAACTTGGGCAAACTGTGTATTCGAGGTGCAAAGCAAGGCCTTGTAGAAAATCATGTCTTGGGCATTTTTCGTAGAGCTTGGGCGGGTGTCTTCATCAGAAGTTTTTATTCCCTCTCCCTTTTTTTTTAAAGAGTTTTTTAAAACACAAAGATGCCAAGCCTTTGCGGGATGTCCTGGCAGCGAATCCCAACCGCTTCATCACGTTACTCCTACCCGGCAGTACCCAGGCAGCTGTTCGGCCTGGCTCCCCCAGCACCAGCACCATGCGCCTCGATCTCCAGTTCCAGGCTATTAAGGTAGGGCAGTTCTCTTTAACACGTGATGCAAAGAGGTACTCATCGGGACTTCACTGGCTTTGCTAGCTGTAGAGAGTTAGGAAGATGACCTCGAAGGAAATATGCAGGAACCGTCACCCAGGCGAAGTGGGCTGAAACAAGATACTATTTGGAAGTGTTTCAGGCAGACACCCCCCTGACTCCCTGCGGTATAAGAAGAGGGGGAGGAGGCCCAGCACAATCTCACTTGCAAGATTCTGTTGTTCTAGCCCATCTCCACGAAGGTAGTTTTAGCCTTCCTTGGGAGTTGATTTCCAGGTCTGACCCGCCTAGTGGGGCTGACACCAGCAGATTCCTCCAAAGTGTATTCAGATGCTAGATTCTGCCCTCTTCAGTGGCCCCCAGACACTCTCCTTTCTTTAACATATTTGTTAGCACCCCTTTCTAATCTCTCATCTCCTTTCCAGGTTCTTCCATGCTTGTTGTAGGTCCCTTGTTATGGTGAATGCTTCCATAATTGTCCCTTCTGTTTTGATCCGGCCTCCAAGGGTCTTCAGGTTCCTAATCCCCGTGCCTAGAACCATGGCAGAGGAAACATTAGGTGCACAACAACTGATCACCTGCGTAAGGCAATTTACCTACTGACGTCCTTGTTTTTGCTTTGACAGATCATAAGTATTATTGTTAAGAATGATGAATGCTGGCTGGCAAACCAGCATTCCTTGGTCAGCCAACTGAGGCGAGTGTGGGTCAGCGACGCTTTCCAAGAGAGGCACCGGAAGGAGAACATGGCGGCCACAAACTGGAAGGAACCCAAACTCTTGGCCTACTGCTTACTGAATTATTGCAAGTGCGTCTTTTCTGTTAGTTAGTAAACGTAGCACCCTGCTTGCCTGCTTCTGTATAAACAAACTGGAGTGTGGGTCACTCCCTCTCGTAGGGGACTCCAAGAGAGAATGGGATGGAGTTCTGGAGGGAAGGGGATACCCACGGGACCCTCCTGACCACACGGAGGGCTGAGGAAGAACGCCCCATTGCTCAGCAAAGGGGAGGGCTGGCCCGTACCATGTGAAGCCCACCCAGTGGGCAGAGGGTGATTGTGGGGCTAAGCAGTCCTTGGACGGGGAGACCTGGCCTGGGTTCTGCTCAGCCACAAGTCATCCAAAACTAAGTCTGGGCCAGCCACTCTCAGCCCAACTGACCTTATTGGGGTGGGAGGATAAAAAAAGTAGGGGAGATCCTAATGGACATTATCTTGGGCACCGGAAGAAAAAGGCTGTAAGATCAAGCCAGCAAATAAAGAAATAAATGGACATTTTGTTGCAGGTGTCCCTTGGCTAGAAATATTTCCAACATCTGTAAAGCTGAGCCCTCCCCTCCCCTCCCCTTCCCTTTCCCAATTTTCCTCCCCTTCCCAGCACTCGCCTAAAGCCTTGATGAATGAGACAGGCCATTTGCACCTAAGGGAAACCTTTAGTGCCCTCTGTGTTTTTACATCTGGGTTTCCTTCCCCCTCTTTATCTTTAGGAGAAATTACAACGACATCGAACTGCTTTTCCAGCTTCTCCGTGCCTTCACTGGCCGTTTCCTCTGCAACATGACATTCTTGAAAGAGTACATGGAAGAAGACATTCCCAAAAATTACACCATTGCCCAGAAGCGGGCTCTGTTCTTCCGCTTTGTCGACTTCAGCGACCTTAACTTCGGTGATGAGCTGAAAGCTAAGGTAAAGCGAAGTCCAACTTGGCTGTGCGTTCCTGTTCTTGAACAACACGAATTCCTCGCTTTAAATGTTGGGGAGCATTTGATAATTAGCTGGTCCCCTCTTGGGAGAATTCTGAGCCCGATGAAGAGAAATAACCGTTGTACGCCACCCAGAGTTGCTGGGTGTGAGATGGGCGGCTATATAAATGTGACTAATAAATAAATAAAATAAATAAATAATGGGTGAAACTGGGAATTCATCCAGCTCCTTTTCAGACATGCCTCTTCTTGAATATTGACGTGTGTGCTCGCCTGCAGCTTTTCTGCAAAAGAAATTGAATTTCAAGAGGGATTGACGTGTCCTGTTGATATCTACTTATGCGTCATCTTCCTAATATTGTAGGTCATGGGCTCCCCCATAGGCTAACCTGGCAGGTTTTTTAATCGTCATTTTGTTTTTCTTTTCTTTGGCTGATAGGTTTTGCAGTACATTCTGAATCCTGCTTTCTTGTACAGCTTTGAAAAGGGGGAAGGGGAACAGCTTCTGGGGCCCCCCAACCCTGAAGGTGATAACCCTGAAAGTATCACCAGCGTATTCATAACAAAGGTAGTTTCAACTAAGAAGGGGAAAAAGAGGGTCGGAAGCTTATGGGGGGGATGCATTCAAAGCAGGGCCAGCTCTACCATTGGGCAGGGGGAGAGATGCAAGAGGAGGGGAGACAGAGTTTGTCTTTCATCTCTTAAACTAGCCTGCTGTCTTTAGCATAGTGTAGAAGGAGATATCGTTAGCTACTTTTCAGCTGCCAGTCTGGTTAGTCCGGTCAGTTTCTCTCTATGAAGCAGGGAGACTATCATCTTGGCCTTTGTCTCAAGTGGCAGACTATCTCAGATCAACTCTGATGAGAAATGTCTTTATGTCCCTTTGATCTTGGTGCTCAACTGTAATGTAAGAATTTAACCGCCAGGGACACATTTGGAAGCTGGGAGAAGTATGGTTTATTGTGGGCCAGCCCATAATCTTAGTCCGAACAGGAGGCCTTTATCTTCTAGTCTTCTTCTCCAATCTCGCAACACCAGCTTGGCTAGGACTACAATTCCAGGTTGACATGGATACCTTCTGGGAGGTGAAACCCAGCAGTTTGGAGGATGTCAAGTCTGGGAGGGCTCCCTTATAGAATTTCTGCCCCTGGGCAGTCTTTTCCGCCCTTGGGAAGACTGCACCTTCGACCCTTTGGGGCTCAAGTGTGCCTTGCCAGTCCAAGCCCCAGCAGCTCCTGGGGTAATTTTAAGGTGTGCACGCCGATACATATTTGTTCGATAATATATTCTGGGCATTTCTTCCCCTCCCTTTGGGCGATTCAGGTTCTTGACCCAGAAAAGCAAGCCGACATGCTGGATTCGCTCCGGATTTACCTCCTGCAGTTTGCCACCTTGCTGGTCGAGCACGCACCGCACCACATTCACGACAACAACAAGAACCGGAACAGCAAACTCCGCCGCCTCATGACCTTTGCTTGGCCCTGTTTGCTCTCCAAAGCCTGTGTCGACCCAGCCTGCAAATACAGCGGGCACTTGCTCCTTGCGCACATCATCGCCAAGTTTGCCATCCACAAGAAGATTGTCTTACAGGTATGTGTGGGATGAATAAGAGGTTGGCAGCCTTTTGAAGCACTGTTCTGCAATCACGCCAATTCTGGGTTTGTGCCATTGTGTTTTTTGCTCTGTTTTCCTTCCCATAAATGATGCTGGGCCTGAAATATGTAGGCATATGTGATGCAATGCATTGGTGTGTATTGATGTATTAATTCATGCATTAATATGGCCAAGGGATCCTTGAAGGCTTTGCTTGGGAAGAGGTGGTGGTACAGCTTCCTGTGAGAGATGGTGGAGGAGCTGGGAAAGGAGTTGAAGAGAGGGCAGATACCAGCAGTCAAGAAATAGAAAGCAAATCAATTGACAGTTTCTTAAAAATAGCAGTTTAGCCCAAATGGAGATAACCCCGGGAAGAAGTTTTCAAATTATTGAAAGAAACTCTCCCTTAATGAACTCACTATAAAGGAGGTTGGAAAATTCCTTGTACAGCTTTCAAGATTTGGTATTTATCCTTGACTAGCATTAAGGAGACCTTAGTAGAATCCTCGATCTTCCCCAGTTGTCCACGGTTTGATAACTGCTTCTTCTGAAGGATGTGTGGAAGTGTGGCCAGTGATTCATACCAGTAGTAGAAGTTAGAAGAAGGCTGTTGAATATCCTTGGACATAACCATTGGATTCCTATATTGAGCACTGGTGTAAAGTATTTGGATTCATTTGGGAGTAGTCAATGCATGAGGTTGGTAAGATATCTTCCAGTGGAGTTCAGCTACTGGCAACGGCCACTGAACTGTAGAACGTCTTCAGTTCGAGTTCTGTGTTGGGCTTTCTCTTAGACGTGGAAGCTAAGCAAGGTCAGACCTGGTTAGCAGTTGGATGGGAGAATGCCAGGAGATCTCAGGATGCTGGCTAGACTGGGAAGTGGAAAAGCTGTTCTATAAGGATCAGTGGCAAAGCACTTCCTTATTGTTGCCAAGAAAATGACATGGACTCATCCATATGGACTGTAGGAGTTGAGCTTGGCTCAAAGGAAGCTTGTCTTCAATGCATAGAATCCAGCAGTGGTTCATAAACCATCATTTATCATTATCTTTACGTGAAAACCTTAATGACTAAAGAACAAACTGTTGTGTGGCCAAAGATACCCAATGATGTCATTAGTGTTATGGACAGTTTTTCTTCCATTCTCCAGAATTCTTCCATTCTCTAAATTTCTCTTTTGAAGAGATTTATTTTCCTGTAACTGGAGAAGATGCTAGGGGGTGGAAGGTGGAAAGTTCTTGGAGAAACCATTTGACATCTTGGCTGGGGAGGTGACTTAGTTTAATCTTCCTCAATATGGCAGCTTCTTGATGTATTGAGAGTACAGCTGCTAGGATTCCAGCCAATTTGAAAGGGAATTACAGTCTGGAGCCAGCCAGGTTGGAAAGATCTGCCTTATCATCTTGTAATATCCACCCAGAAAGTCTTAATGTAAAAGCTACATACTTGAGACTCCTGCCCATTGAAATCGTGTCCACCTTCTCTTCAGGTGTTTCACAGTCTCTTGAAGGCTCATGCAATGGAGGCTCGGATCATTGTAAGACAAGCCATGGCTATTTTGACTCCTGCAGTGCCTGCTCGAATGGAGGATGGCCACCAGATGTTGACTCACTGGACAAGGAAGATCATAGTTGAGGAAGGCCATACTGTCCCTCAACTGGTCCATATCTTGCACTTGATAGTTCAGCACTTTAAGGTATGAACTCAGCCTGCATAACATTGATGCAAGGCAGGAACTTCTGTTTCTTTAGGTGTCTGGGTATGTTGTGTATTAAAAACTAAAACTAGTAAATAACTTAATGACCACATGCAATGCCAGCCAAGTTTGGTAGGGTTTGCATCAGTGTGTGTGTGTGTATGGGCAGTGCGAGCATAGGTATAGACAGGCTGGATTTCTACATGTAATTTCCTTGGCGTTGGTAACCTGTGGTGATTGGAGCTCACAATTTGTGAATAGTGTGATGTGTGAACCCAGCAAATTATAGTTTATTCAGTAAACTATAGTCAAATCATGGTGGTGCAACCCCAGCACTTGATTTGCTTGTCCTGCAAAATCAGAAACTCTTGCAAATTTTCTTCAGATCATTTCCATTCTTAAATATTATATCAAACCACATCTGTTTTCTTGTAACAAACTGTAATAGCTGAAGCTCTCTAGCAAAACGTGCACATTCCCTAATTACCTTTGAACATTCTGTTGTATTGACTTGAGACCTGCTGGAGGTCATCTCAGGAACAGGTCACGTTGGCCAAACATCACTTCATATTGCAAAATTGGAGGCTGATAATAAATACAGTTCTGTATACAATAACTGGAAAGCTGTCTCCTTCCTCTTTCCGTTTGGATTTGCAATGTTGTCCTGTTACTGTGTAGAGACAGATAAATCAGTAACACACATACACACTCACAGAGAGAGAGAGAGAGAGAGAGAAATAGGTAGGTAGGTAGATAGATGGAGATAGATGATGGAGGAGAGGGGATGGATGATAGATGTTGAATGATAGATATAGGTAGATGATAGATAGAGCTAGATGATAGATGATATAGATAGATGATATTTATAGATAGATGATAGAGATAGATGATAGATATAGATAGATGGAGATAGATGATGGATGACAGATATAGGTAGATGATAGATGATAGATGGATGATAGATATAGATATAGATAGATGGAGATAGATGATGGATGACAGATACAGGTAGATGATAGATGATGGATGACAGATACAGGTAGATGATAGATGATGGATGATAGATATAGATAGATGATTGATAGAGCTAGATGATATATAGAGATAAAAAATATATATTGGTAGAAGATAGGTAGGTAGGTAGGTAGATAGATAGATAGATAGATAGATAGATAGATAGATAGATAGATAGATAGATAGATAGATAGATAGATACAAACAATTGGGGTGATACTGTGTTCTTGAATCAGTCTTGGCATTAAGCAGAAGCTGTGCTGAATGTATATGTGTGGTCTCAAAGGAGCAGAATGGCTCCAAAGCCGTGCAATGCCTTTTGATGAAGTGGACTCACAAATGGCCTGCGTGGGGTCCAAGCAGCTCGGATTGGAATCCTCCGAGACGTTTTGGAGCAGCAGGGAAGTCAAATGGGTTAGGGTTATTTTCAGCAGCAAATACTTGATGGGATTGCTGGAGGGCTGGGGAAATCATTTTAATGTTGACCAAGACTGCTGGAGCTGTGGCCTGTTGTCACTTGGACGACTTGTGAATGGGGTTGGTTTTTGTCATCTTGGAATAGTAATGATGCCCCCAAGGTTCGTGCTATTTGTGAGCTCAGGGGAGTCACAAAAGAGAAAAGTGCTCGGCAGTCTGTTGGCCTGAGGCATTTAGAATATGGTATTTAGAACCAGGAAGCTCTTTTTCTCTTCTTTATATTACTCTGGCCCTCCTAATGCAAAGGACTAAGTGTATCTGTAGGTATATTTACAACAGCTTGAATTTACTAAGGAAGAGGTACGAGGCATCCAAAGAAGACCATCATCCGTTTCCCGAAAACACTCTTATAATGCCTGTATAACAACACTCTGTTCCACAATTTTGAATCTCTGCACTGAGACACCAGACCAAAAATCTTTCTTCAGACATATCGTCTCGTGCAGTTTCCTCTAACCAGATTTGTGTGGATAATGGATGTGGGAGTGCCAGGGGTTAGTAAATAGAAGACAAAGAATTGGAGAAGATCACAAAGTATCAAGATCTGAAAGTCAAAGTTGAAAGATTATGGCATAAACCAGCAGTGGTGGTCCCAGAGGCTATCGGCCCACTGGGTGTCATACCAAAAAGCCTTGGATGGCATTTAGAAAATGTGCACATTGACAAAATTTCCATCTGTCCATTACAAAAGGCCACCCTGCTTGGATCCGCACACAGACCACGCCGATACATTACGACATCCTTGGTTCTTGGGAAGAACTCGATGCGAATGAAGGCCAACACCAGCTAAAGAACTGGTAGTTGCGTTTTCACGTTGTTGTGTGTAATATATTAAAATTGATTCAGCTCTCTTTCAATAGAGGGGCGAGGAAGGTGACTTTTGAGTGGTTTTGAGCAATCTTCTTGAGCTGTTCTGTGATACGCCTTTGCAGGTTTACTACCCGGTCCGACACCATTTAGTGCAGCACATGGTGAGCGCCATGCAAAGGTTGGGCTTCACCCCCAGCGTGACCATCGAGCAGAGGAAACTGGCAGTGGATCTAGCAGAAGTGATTATCAAGTGGGAATTGCAGCGAATCAAGGATCAGCAGGTAAAGAGGGAACGGTTTGGGAGGCTGCCTGCAAAATTGGGAAAAGAATTAATCGTAGCCATTTCCTGGGCTCTTCTCTTCTCTTCTCCTCTCCTTTCCCCCCGCAAAGCCGGATTCAGATATGGATCAAGGTGCCAGCGGCGAGGGTGTGAGCACTGCCTCGTCGGCGGTGAAAAGAGGGCTGTCTGTGGATTCCGGTCAGGAAGTGAAGCGGTTCCGAACAGCAACTGGGGCAATCAGTGGAGTAAGCACTTTTTTTTCTGCTTCCCACCCCCGATTTCTTTATTCCCTTGATATTTGTGCTGCTTTTCCTTCTAAAGGAGCCTAGAGCAGCTGACCAAAGAACGCTAAAGAAAAGAAAGACAAAAACTCTCACCTGTAAAACCCAGCAATCTTCAAAATAAGGACCAAAGAAATGCAGAGAAACTGAAGGACTAAGTGTATCTGTAGGTATGTTTAGAACAGCTGGAATTAACTGAGGAAGAGGTACGAGGCGTCCAAAGAAGACCATCATCCTTTTTCCAAAAACATAGTTACCGTGTCTGCATGACAACACTCCATGTTCCACATTTAAAAAAAAAAAAAAAGATATGTAGAGTAATAGGCAGATTCAAAATTAGCCTGGTCCCTCTGTCTTGCAAACGCCTGGGTGGATGGGCAGGTTTTCAGATGAGGAAAAGAAACCGGAAAAAAAAAAAAAGGACAATGCCTATTCTGCTTTTGCTGTGCGGTTTTTCTGTGCTGCTGTGCTGTTGTAATGACTGGCTAAACATTTCAGTGTCCTGTGTGTTCTCTCTCAGGTGTTTGGACGCAGCCAATCTCTTTCTGGAGCTGACGCCCTCTTTTCCAAGTCCATTGACAAGCAACACACCGACACGGTGATCAATTTCCTCATTAGAATTGCCTGCCAGGTATTGTGCTCTTCTGAAATGAACATGGTCTAGCTTGATTAGTATCAGAGAGTCAGTCTCTTTGCTCCATTGAAGGGCAATCTGGAGGGTTTTCTTGGTCCTAAGGCAGAGAAATAAGAATCCTCGAGCATTATCCAGTTCTTCTTCTACTCCTTTGGATTTTTCAGTTCACAATAGTCTTTCTGTTTGAAGCATCTCTTCCAAGTTCCAATGGGGTCCCTCAGCCAGTGAGAGGTCATGGGGAGGCATGGTAGAAATGGTGTCCCACAGGTCTAAAGCTGGAAGAAGAGATTTGGGACTTTCTGAATGTGGTGTGATTGGATTCTGTCAGTGGTATTTTTTTTACCTTGAACCTCACTTGAAACTACCCTGAAAATGTTATTTTATTAGGTAGCCAGGATTAAAAAATTGGGGTAAATGGAAAAAGGTTTCCACCTGAGATTGAACATGGCACTAGACAGGTGGCTCTGGTGGGAGTTTTATGGAACTGAGAGGCCACCACTGAATAGGCCTGCCTCCTGCCAGAACAGAGGGTCACTTAGAAAAGTATCTGTGATGATTTTTCCAAAGTTGGATCCTGCATACTGTATGCAGTAGCTTGGGTCACACATTTTGCTAAGCCAGTTATTGCCCTTAGACATCATGGATTTATCATGACAAGGATGGTCCCAGTCACCATCTCCTAAGCTTCCAGTTCCTGTTTCTTCCTCTGACATGTCCAGGAAGCATTTAGAGATGTTGGCTGCCAGTTTGTCCTAGCAGGTGGAAGCATCTAGATAACCTTGTCTGGACTTGGAAGTCAAGCAGGGTCGGAGCTGGTCAGTATTTGGATGGGAGACTCCAGGGAATATCATGGCTGCAGACTAGAGTAGGAGGTAAAAAAATATATCATCCAATAAAGCAGTGGCAAACCACTTATATTCTGTAGCCAAGAAAACTGCATGGATCTTTGGACCACTCTTTTTTTTTACTATATATTCAGAGATCCATAAAAACATGGCTGTTCAGAAAGACATTTGGGGATGAGTAAAATCATCACGGCACATCAAGTTGATTGCTTTATACCTGTATTAATCGATTTCTGTTTCGATTTTATTATACTGATATTTTATAAGGCACTCAGAGTTTCCAGAAATGGAGCAGGATGTAAGTTCTAGGCGTGATTGAATGAACAAATGAACAAACGAACGAATGAATGAAGTGTGTATGAAGTCACAAGAAGCCAAGCTCAACTTGAAGGACACTTTGTCTTCAGCTCCCATCCCAGACTAATTGTCCTTCAGTTTATTATTACATTTCCTTGTGAATAATTCTACGTGTGCTTTGTTTGAGGCAAGACAACTTGATAACCCACTGTCTGGATTTGCTTGTTGCACTTAACTACAGTACAGATTAATTACAACTTTTTAGGGCTGAGACAATGCCCAAGGAGCGCTGGTTAATCAAAATGGGAACGCTTTGCCCCTACATTAGCCCAAGCGATACCATTAAGTGACTTCCAGGGCAGAAGCTTTTCCGACATCTGCTGCTCGGTGGAGTTTTAGGTTCGGGGGCAGGTGGAGATATGGAAATCTTGTTTCCCCACCCAGCAGCAGTTTACTGGAATTATTGAATGACGTTGCCCTTAACAGTAATCTCCTAGTTGAACTAAGTCTTTTTGGAGAAGTGAAATGTCATCCCTGCATCCATGGGAGGTATGATGGCATTAAAATATTAATGAGCTCTAAAAGATGATGATGATAAATATTTGCCGCTTGGTAATTATTCTGGTTAATTGCTAGGTAAATGACAACTCAAACACTGCCGGCTCTCCAGGAGAAATGCTCTCTCGGCGCTGTGTTAACCTTCTGAAGACAGCTTTACGGCCAGACATGTGGCCAAAATCGGAGCTGAAACTGCAGTGGTTTGATAAGCTTCTAATGACCGTGGTAAGTTGCACTGTGGCTTTGAAAGAACTCATCAGCATAATTAAGTGCTTCATAAAGCACCTTGGTTGTATTATGAGTTGTCATGCTGTGTCCAGTGTGTCGATTTGTTTTAAAATTATGGAGAAACCAAATAGGTGTGGAGGGGTGTTTGTGTATGGAAGCAGAGATCTCGAAATGTCATGTTAGCTTCTTTAATTGCCAATTTAATTTGATGTCATGACTTGGAAAATGTTCAACTTAATGGAATTGATTTATAGTCTCAAATAATTACGCCTGTCCTTGTTCTTGACTTGGGATGAAAAGTCAACGGCTGCGAATTGGAAATGAACGCAAGGCAGGGATACTAGGCTTTGAATTGGAATATTGATGAGGTGTTAGTTTCTTTTTTCCCCCAGTGCAAATCTTTTAAAATGGTTGAGTTTCCAGAGAATTGTTTCTGAGATGAGCATTTATGTGTCTGGTGGTAGCTTCATTCTTCCCCTAAAAAGCTCAGAATTATATGAATACCACCCGCTATCTATGCAAGTAGATTTGTGTTTATAGCTCATTATTAGCTCAGGTTCATTCAGGTGGCGTAATGGTGAGTGGGAGTTTTGACTGATGTTGTCTGAATTCAACAGCTAGGCTGGTCATACCTGCTTAATACTTGGATAAAAGTTGACCAGGAAGTCCCAGAGTTGTAGGCTAAAATGGGAATTATGGAAAAAGTCAGTGGCAAGCCACCTCTGTTTCATTGCCAAGAAAACTTCATGGATGTGTCTGGTAAGCGCCCAGAGTCAACTCCATGGAAGTGTCAGCAAGAGTCAAGCTTGGCTCAACTACATCTTACTTTCAGGGGTATAATGGAAGTATCCTTTTTCACATCCTTGAGATTGGCCTCACGCATCAGCAGTAACACTGGGACTGTTACTCATGGTGTAAAGTGTTTAGAGCACTCTTCCCCAGCTGGTGCTCTTCAGATGTGTTGAGACTGCAAATCACAGGCTTATTCCACCAACGCGGATGACAGCGATGCTAACTGTTGTAGACCCAACAGATCTGAAAGGTGCCTAGCTAGCTTCCTTCTTGAGAAAGGAAAAGGAAGGAAGAGGGAATCTGACACTTCCAAATGTGTGTACATTGGGAAAACGGAAGCTGATGTTTTTTGAACATGTCTCTAACCAGAGATGTGGTTTGTTAAACATTTCCTGCCTCCAAACTTACCTTAAATGCTACCTAATTAATGCTACCAGTAAATGTAATAACTGTGTCCTGGTAGTTATGTGTGTGGGTGCTAACTGCCACATTTTGCATCCTAAGCAGCAGTCTGGAATATTTATTTTATTCATTAGCGTAGCATTTATGTTACATAGGTCTATCAACAAATAAAATAAACAAAAATTCCCAGTTGCGGCCTGTATTGTAAAATGTGGCAATTAGATTGGAGAGCTTATTCCTGGATGGCATGTAATTCCAAATCCTTCTACACATTAGGAAGCCTTTGATACGAAGTTTTCTTCTGTAGTGTCTCAGCCTTGGGCCTTTTATTTATTTAGCAGAATTGTAATTGTGAATTAATTAATTGTGAACTTGGGGGTCATTTTTCCCCTTTATTTTCTAAACACTTGAGCTTTAGAGTTTGGAGTTTTCTTTTGGGGTCTAATTGTAATTGTCTCTTTCTCTCTTTCTCTTTAAAGGTGGGCTTTTATTACACCCATTCTCTGGTTGTTTGATATGTGAACATGAGATGATTCCTATTAAAATGTAGTGCTTTAGAAAAAGAAAATAAGATCAAACTGAATCACTCAGTCCCTGCTCTGCACATCATCTACCTTTCTCATAAATGAAATGCCATTAGATAGGGCTGGAATAATGATTTTTGGCCCATCTCTCCTGCTCTGAATAATTGAATGTAGGTCTATTATTTTGGTAGTTGTCAGATCTTTGAATCCTACATCAAGAGACATGTCAGAAGCAAAAAAGAGAGGCTCCTTTGTTCCTTGGGACACCTTTCTGGCAATAGGGAGTGGGGGGAGTGAGGGATCTTTGGACCTCTGTGTGACTTTTGGTAGCTAGACTATAGGCTCTTCTAGCTGTGGCTGATGGGAATTGGAGCCTGGCAGAACCTGGAGGGTCACGTTTCCCTTTATGCCTCAGGCTCTGGGGAAGGACAGAAGAAGCTGGGTCTGAGGCACGATTCACACAGGTTTTGACTAGCAACATGTTGGATTGATAGAGTTGAAAGGAAGACAGTGCCACACAGTGTGAATGGGGTGGGGCTACACAAAACGTTACCCATCCTTAGACTTCATCCGACAGTGTGTCTGTATGGTTCTTGCATCTGTTGAGGTTGGTGGGCTCCCCTTTGTCCTGGCTGTTCATGCAGAGGTGGGACAGCTGTCTGTCAGGATGTTGTATTGTTGGTTCCTGCATGGAGCAAGGGGCTGGCTTCTAGTCTGAGTGGAAATCTATAATTCATAGAGGAGTTGAGGGACAAGTACTCATTTAGAATACTATGTCTGGGAGTTTTAGAACAGAATACAACGTATGAAGATATGAAACCTATAATTTATTCCACCTTCGGAAAGATGCCATTTGCCAGCCCAGATTGTTGGTCCATTCAGCCTCACCCTCTATTCCCTGCAAGCCTTGACTTTTAGAGTAGCTCCCTGGGATCTTGTTGATTCTTTATGATATGTCTCCAGGGTCATGTTGATTCTTGATGATAGCTCTCCAGGATCTTGTTGACTCATAGAAAGTAGCACTCTGGGACCTTGTTGACTCTTTATTGTAGCTTTCCAGAATCTTCTTGTCTCTTAATTACAGCCCTCCAGGCTCTTTCTGATTTTTAGGAAATATCTCTTGGAGATCTTGTGAAGGGTTTCTTATTTTTTTCCCCACTGGAAATTCCATGGATTACACCTGGCATGTTAGCCATGCAAAATGTCTGTCCTTCTGCTGAGCTGTGACAAGATGATGCCTTTACAAATCATATTTCAGTTCCCCTTGGGCTGTTGTCGTGACTCTGTTTACAGTTTCTTTTTTATGAGTGAACTATATTTTTGGGTTTGCTGACACCAAACTATAGTCTTATTCCATTTTAAATTAAGGGACTCAAAAGGGTAGTCTCTGGAATGCATCTTAAGGGAAGGGAAGGAACACAATTTTATATTTCATCATGGAATGAAAGATATCTAAATGTGGTTGGAGAGTGCTAGTTTTTTTTTAAAGCATTGTTTTTAAGATGGTCTGGTTTTAATCTTAGCCTCCACTGTTTTGCAGTTGTAATTAGGACATAATTAGCATAGCTATTACTCACAGAAGCAGAACAGTTCTTTCATTTTAAATCAAAATGGAGATGTAACCATCTATCTGGTTGGTTGATCAGAAATCAAGGTGTGTCCTGAAATATAATTTGATGTAACCTGTAAAATGGTAAAGACTGAGATTCCCTGTAAATGGTGCTCTGGTACATATCCAATTAGAAATGATTGCAAATCTATTTATTAAGCAATATTTCCTGAAGGTGGCACTGTTTATTGGTATGGAAGTCCTCAGATCAGTTTATGCTGTTTTTCCTAAGTCTTCGGCATCTCCTGATTCTGTGAATTCAAGGGGATTGGACATGGGGAGTATATAAAATTCTATTCTTCCCTTTCCATATGTGTCCTACGCATATTTAGCTTTTACATTCCTAAACTCACAACACCCAGATTCCCAGGTGGGGTATAAAACAGTAAAAATTAGCAGCTTTACAGAATTGAAACAAACAACATCAATAATAAATGTAATAAGTGAAATAAATGGCAAAGCAACCTTCGCAAGTGTAAGATGCTTCCTGTACAGCCTGGGGAAATACAAACATTGTCACCTGGCATCTAGAAGATCATAATGTAGACCTCAAGCATGCTTGTCTGGAGAAGACATTCCCCAACTGGGAGCATGATTGCTGAAAAGGACTCAGCCTGCTTACCTCATTTGTGATTTGACCTCAGGGCAAAGGGCCGATGCATTTAAAAAGGGCAGATGGGTTTTCCTTTGGAGCCTTCAGGAATTAAGACAAGAAGAGGGGACTTGTGATCCTAGCAGCTCCCAGCCAGCATGACCCATAGTGAAGGTTGCTAGAAGCTTTAATGCAGCACCATCTGAAGAACCACAGGTTGCTCAGGTCGGAAGACTCCTTGTAAGAATGGAAACTGTTCCACAACATCTTAAAGCCTCTTTAGGTGTGTATATATGTGAGTTTGCTGGTTGTCCCTTCAAATCCTCTTTTTCTTTCCAATGTTTTGCTCCAGGAACAGCCCAACCAAGCCAACTTTGCCAATATCTGCACCGGATTGGAAGTTCTCAGCTTTCTGCTCACTGTGCTCCAGTCTTCCGTTATCTTGAGTAGCTTCAAACCGCTGCAGAGAGGAATAGCCTCTTGCATGACGTGTGGAAACACCAAGGTTCTGCGGGCTGTCCACACACTCCTTTCTCGCTTAATGAGCAACTTCCCTACCGAACCAAGTACGTAGGGACAACAAGGAATGGGGATGGCCTTTCGGGGTCCTCCTGGAAAATGGGAGACCGAGAAAAAGGGCAGAACATCTCTAATGTTGCTCTTCTCATTTGTGCCTGTTTTTATGGACTTTTTTATTTTTTAAAACTTGCACTTCCAGCCCCAATTAAAATAAAAAGTTGAAATAGGTAACCACTAGAAATACATCATTATCCAGTGGCATAAAAACTTAATAACCTGTGGCAGTTATTACTTTGGCTCAAGAAATGCATGTCATAAATTTAATGTCTTTTGCAATTACCATTTTTTCTGCTTTGAAAGTGCAGTTTCTCAGTTGTTGAACATGGCTGTATTAGTAAGACAAGGAAGGGAAATTAGGTGTAAAGGCAGACTTTTGATAAGAGGGAGCAACTGAATAAAAGCCAAGGATCTCTTTGCCCAACCTTGCCTGGGAAGAAGCCTCATTTGGCTGCACGGGATTAAGTGCTAAATAGAGAGATGGGTGATTGCACCATCATGATTGCAACTAAGTTTAATATTAGGGATATGCGTCTGTTTGGATCCAAAGCAGGAAAGGGGCTGCATCTGCCTGTAGCTCCTGAAAGAATCGTTGTCTTTTCCTGGACTTGTACAGTAGTTGCATGGACACAGGCAAACAGCAAGAGCGAGCACACTGGGTCTGAACCACCTTGCTCTCTTTGGCTCCAAAGGGCTATATGTTCCTGCTTAGTAGTTTATTGTGGAGATCCCATTTTGCTTGAAAAATTGCATATTCTTTTCCCTTTCAAGCAGAGGATGCAGAGCAGAGATATGGCTCCTTGTAGAGGGCAGAGGGGATGGCCTTGAGGGACAGGAGGAAGAGCTGCTACCAAGACAGTGGCCAGATAAAAGAGGACCGAGACTGGGACAGGAATAAATGTTTCAGACAAGGCCCTCCCTTGTTCTCATGAAGATAAAAGAAGGGAGGGGGAAGCACATTCAGACTTGCAATATTCTGTTACTATAGCTTTACCATAAAAGTAGTACTGACCTATGTGACATTGGATTCCTAGTCTGAATTACCTTGAAGAGCTGACATTCCTAGAGAACTTGTAACGTTTTCCAAAATTCCCAGAGGCAATGTTTTTATTTCACCAGGTGAAGTTTGATGTTAGTAGACAAGTGTCCAAGTGTCTTAATACTCTTCATCAGACAGTATAATTGAAAAATGGATTGGGGAGTGGGAGAAGATGGAGATGGGAAAGTGGTAGATGTAGCCCGTCACATTCTTCAGGAGCTGAAAGAGGGGTCTCCCAATTTGTAGATGGGTCTGACCATGTACTGGGTTGGTTGCAGTAGAGCAAGAAGGCACAACTTTTGTTGGCTTGAAGACCATGCTAAATGTTGCATGACAGATTCACCTTGGATTTTATGATGGGGTGGGGGAATGCAGTGCCCCAGCCTGGGGTGATTTTTCAGTGGGTTTATGGGCCAGATTGGTGCCTTACTCTTCGCAAGCCTTAAGGTACTTGCTTTGTTCTTGAACACCTTTTATCCAAACTCTACAAAATGCAAAAAAGAGTAAAGTTTCTGGTCTCATACAGTCTGGGTGGGGATTGCAAAAAAAAAGAAAAAAAGATTGCATTCTCCCCCACCTCCCCCACATAGCAAGCAAGGAACAAACCAATGATTATAACACCTGATTTTATTTATTTATTAATTAAATGTATATGCTGCCCATCTCCCCCAGAGGAAGGATTTGATTTGATTTGTATGGTATCCCCCACCCCCTTTCAAAAATATACATTCCACTTGCTAAAACTCAAAGAATTCCATTCAATGTGTGAATGTATCTTGTTTTGTTTCTTGTCCACTCTTGCGTAGGCACTTCGAGTGTTGCATCCAAATATGAGGAACTGGAGTGTCTCTACGCTGCTGTTGGGAAGGTTATTTATGAAGGACTTACCAACTATGAAAAAGCTGCTAGTGCTAACCCTTCTCAGCTTTTTGGTAAGCAGTTTGATTTATTGCATCATTATGATTGAGCATGTAATCAGTACAAAATGGCCTGGTCCATTTATTTTAATATTTTGAGAACTAAGAAGACAACTTTCCATAGTTTTTTTGCTGAGTATTCATAGCAGACTAAGACAACTTCATTATGCTTCCATAGAGCTGATGATGTGCATTCACAGAAAGCATGCTATGTATGTCAAGATGATGGTCTGCATTGGAAGACCTTGGTGTTGCCTTGGTTGTGCGTGATGGCGATTGAGAAGGGTAAAGCTAACTTGGTCTTATTTGAGGCTGACTTTACGTCAGTTGGAACGTAACTAACGGTGCTCAACAGTTACATAAGGGGCCTGCAGAAGCTGGTGATAGTGAAATCTCTATCAAGGGGGTGGTGAAATCTCTAGAATGATTGGCTGAGCTTCTCTTGAGGGTCTTTAATGCTTAATGTTAGTTAAAAAAAGACATTGGGATCATACTTCCGGAGAGCTAATTGCTATTGGTTGAGCCATTGTGATGCTAGACAAGAGCACAAAGGAGTAAACAGGAGAAGGAGAAGGAGAAGGAGGAATAGTCAGACACTGGGATAGGAGGTGAATATGAAATTGCAGGCCATCAGATGCAGGTTGGTTAAGAAAATGGAATTCAGGCTGGAAGGGGAAGGTTAGGTTGGGAGAGGCAGTTCCAAAAGGGGAAAACGAACTGAGTAGGCGAAAGAATGGAAGATTTGCTGCACAGGGGCTAGAACTGCAAAGCCAAGGAATGCTAACATTCACATTCTACAATTAAATAGCCCAAACTTCAGTTGTTGCCTTTATTTCCCTGTGGGCCCATTGCTGTTTGGCTCTTATTTAAGGACGCTCTCTGCGTTTCCCATGCGTTGCTGATAACCTTCGAGACCTTTTTGTTCCTTCCTTACCGATACCAGAGCCTTGTTTCAGAAACAGTTTCTAAATGTGTTCGCTTTGTCCTGTGAATCTCGAAGAAGCTTTCTCCTCTTCCACTCACATATTAACTTTTGATTAAGCGAGCGGCACTAGGCTTCTCTTGGGATCCCATCAAAGCCACCTAACCAGTAACGCAGATGGGCTGAGATGATTAAACCTCTTGGCGAGTTGCGGCCATCTTAAGCTTGCTGTGGAATTACTTCTGTCAATAACGTGGGTCTGAAATTGCAGTGACTTGGTGCACTGGCTGCTTTCAATGGCAGATGTCCTTCGGTATCCTAGCCTGTGATCTGTGCAGACAGAGGTCATTTCATTTGGGAATTGCCTATTTGTCAGGTGTCAGTTGTGCTGTAGGACAGACTAACCAAGAAAGATACTTATCATTTGTCTAGAACACATCAAGGTTATAGAGCCTGCTGCTACTGGGTTTCTCTCCCCCCCATCCCCACCCCCAGTCCAGAGCTAATTCACAACCTTTTTGAAGATGTTGTCCCCTAGGCCCCCTTGTGAAAGGAAGGAAGTAAATGAAGTCTCTTAAAGGATGCAAAATGTCAAGCATCTTTGATGATGAGGAAGACAAAAGCCGAAACAGTGGGGCAAAGCAGTAGGAGAAGTCTTCCTCTTGGCTACCCATTATGGAATGTCTAAATTATTTGGATGGGATTTCTGTAGAATTCCCTGAGTTATGATTTGAGAGCAAACACATCAGAGATTATGGGACCGTATTGTTGACTATGGATGCATTTGATCTGCCAAAGGTTTGAAGGTGGGAGCGTGTTTGTAAACAGCAGTCTGCTGGTTTAGATTTGGTAGAACCCCATCACATATCCGATTCAGGATCTTCTTTTCCTCCTGTTCTGCCTTGGAACGGAGATGAATGTTTGGTCTGCTGAAGGCAACCCTGGTTTGGGATTCGTTGTCTGCTTTTTCTTGCAGGTGCAGATGGTTCTGCTACCTGGCATTTATAGATTGGATGACGTCTAACAGTGATTGAATGCTCAGAACAGTGGCTCAATGAGATTGGATGTTTGGTTTCATATGCTGGATGGCAAATAAGAATGGATGAGAGAAGCCGGGATTAATCCCAGCTCTGTAGTTGGAATAGGGAGGACGTGGAATTGGTTTTGGCCTGGCAAGTATGGTTTGGATACATTAGGGGCAGCTGAGTTGGGTTGGGCAGCAAAATCTTCCTGGTTTTTAGGAAGTCCATCATCAAGCTCCACTCAACTGGGCAAGAAGGCAAGAACTACACAGAGGCCTTTAATGACAGTGTTGAGTAAAGAAAGAGTCTTGGAAATTCTCAGCCTCATTTATATGAGTTCATTTAAGGCAGAGTCTCTGCATGATTTGAAACGCTTCTTCCCAGGTTTCTCACCACCTGGGTTGAATTGCTGTTTATGAGATAAGCCGCCAACAGTCTGTCCTTCTGTCTTTTGATTGTTTGTGTCTGCTTTCCCTTCCATTCTTTTCCAGCCCTCTCCACAGTCTCTCACATTCATCAAAACATGGCTATTTCATTAGGCATTGGGGACTGGAACGGTGTGATCTGCTTCCTATAGCAACAGAAACTGTGTTTTGGTTGGTGACTGCTGAACAGATTAGATTCCCAGTGCTGTGTTTTTCTCTGTAGTGTTATTATTATGACTTGTGGTTGCTGCTCTTTTATTGTAATGCGTGTTGTGTATTTTAACCCAGTTTACAAAGGTTGAGCTGTATGTTGCTCAGAGCCAGCTTTGACTAGAGTGGTTTATAAGCCCAGTAAAATAGAAACAAGGACCACTTTCCCCAATTTGGGTGCCTTCCGGATGTGGGGAACCTCTCCCAGAATTCCTCTGCCAAAATGATCATTGCTGGGACTTCTGAGTGGTGAAATTCACATATCTGGAGACTGCCCAAGTTTGGAGATGATGGTTTTAGAAGATAGATGAATAGAAATGAGGATAATATGCAACAGAGGAGCAGATAGAAAGGCCTGATGTATGTGCCCAGAACATTGTAAGAGTCTACAGAAAGTCACTGAATGCTTATTGAGCCTATTTTACTGTCTAGTTTTATTCTGTTTTGCTTTCAAACTCCACCGGTGAGAAGTCATTTGTTTGGAAGGAACAATTGGTGGGTTGCATCCATCTGTGGTGTTCAAAAGCAAGGGATCTAACCTTTTTTATCACCTTCAGAATAGCACTTGATTGGGCTGGTTCAAAACAGAACAGTGACAGGTGGCTTCTGTTCTGTTCTTATCTTCCAATAATGCCTGGTTCTGTTTTGTTTAGGTACTTTAATGATTCTGAAATCTGCATGCAGCAATAACCCCAGTTACATAGACAGGCTTATTTCAGTCTTCATGAGATCGCTCCAGAAGATGGTGAGGGAGCATTTAAACCAGCAGTCTCAAGCAGGAACAGTAGAAGCCAATACAGGTAGGCCTCCTTGCCACGTTGAAGTTCCCGTCACAGCAGTTTTGCTCCTTAAAATGTGGAGTTTGGCTGAATGAAGGGAGAAGTATTTGTAGGTGACAGTACCATCTGCTTTGGCCAGTGTTATTCCAAGCCTCTTCCATCCCTAACCAAATTTGGCTCTTTTCTGATAATGAACAGGAGAAACAATTGAAAACTGCCAGGAGAGGAGTGTGGGTGGGAGTGATCCATATAGGAAAGGTGTGGGCAATGTATGTAGGCCCCATCCCAGCCCCAACACCCTGTTTGCAGCTCCCCTAGACCCTGAGCTATTGACGTTCCCCCATGTGTTAAGATATGCAGGCTGGATTTAAGCATGGAATTGAATCACGGTGTGCTTAACCTTGGCCTGTTGATTAAACCACACTTGACTGGGTTTCTGTCTTGATTCTATTTGCAGCGGGCACCAGTGAGTTGGTTATGCTGAGTTTGGACTTGGTGAAAACCCGTCTAGCTATGATGAGCATGGAAATGAGGAAGAACTTCATTCAAGCCATCCTGACCTCGCTCATTGAAAAATCAAACGATGCCAAAATCCTTCGTGCCGTGGTCAAAATTGTGGAAGAGTGGGTAAAAAACAGCTCTTCCATGGCAGCTAACCAGGTAACCTAACAGGAGGACGGTGGGTGGGTGGGTGGAAGTGGGCTTGAATTCCCACCCATTCCACTGAGTGTACTAACTCCCCACTTCGCTGCTACGTTTTCATCCTAAACCATTCCTCAGAGGGTTGTGGAGGAGTGAGTGGAAAGGGACCCATGCATGTCCTTGAGCATGTTGGAAGGAAGGCTGCATAAACATGGATATTGATGAAATAAGAAGGAAATGGAAGGGCTAAGAGTTGAATTGTAATGAATTGAACCTTGCTACTTTTACTTTGAATTATGGGTTTCCTGTTTCAAAGGTCACATCCCCAAAGCCACACCACTATTTGGGAAACAAATCCAGTTTTTGTTTTAATGGTACCTCCACAATATCAGTATAGATGATACACGATAGTACCTAACTGGCCATGCTAGTTATTCTCTTTTACCTGCTGTTTTGGGTTCCCAGCTTGATTAGAAGTGATGTCATTAAAAGATTTTTTTTAGGTTGGAGCCGAATGGCAACCATGTGCTCTACCACTCTTCTGTGTATACAACCACGGCAATTTTGTAACTGACCCCACCCCTCCCAGCCCTTTTATGACATTCTGGAAGCCAAGCCAATCTGAAGTAGTGATGCCAAAAAAGGTGGTTCAGGACTCACTGTGTTGTTGAACCCTTCTTAAAATTCACACAGCAACTCTATGCATGCAGGCAAAGCCACACTCTCTCCCCAGGGAAGGGATCCATTCTTGGTGTATTGTGTAGGGTGTCGTACCATTACTATTTTATTTATGTATATTTAAATTTGTCTCCGCCCATCTCACTGACAAGTTTGTGTTAGTTCTACAGTCCTAATTTTTTATTTTTCTTGATGCCTTCAAGTCAGTGTCGACTCTTGGGGACTGCCTGGACAGATCCCTGTCGTTTTTCTTGGCAAGATTTCGGAAGTGGTTTGCCATTGCCTCCTTCCTAGGGCTGAGTGAGAGGGACTGGCTCAAGGTCACCCAGTTGGCTTTGTGCCTGAAATAGGACTAGAACTCACCGTCTCCCGGTTTCTAGCCTGGTGCCTTAACCACGACACCAAACTGGCTCTCCCTAAAATATTACTGTTCATAAAAACCTCTGTTCTCATCAGTGAAGAGAGCAGGTGGATACTGTTTGGCTTTTTAAGGTCATGTGAAATCAAGGATCTATCTGTTGTCTATGCCGCAAAGCAGTAGTTAAACAAACCATTGTCATCACCAGCATGTAGAACAAGTGACAAGCATAGTGATGATCCGTACAAGACAGAGTTAGATAAAGGGTGGGCCTTAGCAGCTCTGCTACACATGCAGATGCTTGCCAGGAAATTTTTCTTAGATGTTACACTATCAGACATTCAGTTTCATACTGTCAGGGAAAAAACCTCATTAAACACGGGAGACAGACACACCATAAAACAAGTCACCT